CCTGAGGCTACCCAGCAGAAGCCAGCTGTAAAGCAATGCAAGTTGCCGTGAGGCCTTGGGCCAGCTGCAGTTTGTTAAGTAATTTTCATATTACAAAGGGCCAGGCCTTTCATATGCAAAAGCCTCCATGCATGGCTTGGGTGGGGCGGGGTCCCAGGGGATCAACAGGGCGGCCAAGCGAGCAATCAGTATGGCTGCTCTCAGTCCTGCCCTCAGAGGCCCTGGCAATTGCTGCGAGCACCTCTGAGAGAAAGCTGCCCTTGAGTTCCCACCGATGCCAGACAGTCCTGTTTCTCCCGTATGAGTCTGGGTCCCCAGAGACTCGCCCAGAACTGGAGCTCAGAGCTTGAGACTCCCTCCCGATTGAAAAAGATAATCGTGTCCTCAGCCACCAGCCCTCTCCGCATGCACCTCCGCACCTTTGTATTTTACTTCAGCACCACACCTCCTCTGAGTCTCGGTATGCTTTTCTCTTTCCTTCTAGTTGTAGAATTTCCACTCAGCCAGCCTTCCTGTGGTTCTGGATGATGTCTGTTTTGTCTTTTAGTTGTATTTTTGAAGTGGTTGTGCGAGGCAGCAATCTCCGGTGTTTACCTATGCCGCCATCTTGGTTTCTCCCCTAATATTCTCTTTTTAAATCGTAAACTATAAATATATGACAAACTTTTTTCCAAGTGACCTTACCAGGTAGCTCAATTGGTTAGAGAAGCATTCTGATACTCAAAGGTTGTGGATTCAAACCCTGATGTTTCTCTCTCTTTATCTCTCCCTCTCAATCAATAAATAAATTTAAAAAAACTTTTCTGAGTGATTAAGCATCAATAAAAATATTTTTTAAATGTGCAAAAATAACCAGGAAAATTCTGAAGAAGGTAGAGTATGGGAACAGTTTATATCTATGAAATGTTACAATGTATTATGGATCTACAGTCATTAAAAAGAATATGGTATTAGTACAGTAATAGATAATAGTCAAAACAAAAACCAGGTCCAGAAGTGGACCTAAATGGAAAAATCAAAGTTTTATACAATGTGTATGTGAACAGTTACTTGTAATTTTGGTCAGTGTTAGATTTCAATTAACTAAATCAAGTAAAATCCTGAGGTATACAAAGGAATAAAATCTCTAAAACAAATATTTAATATCATGGGTTCCTAGCTAAAATGTATAGGACAAATTCCCATCACATCTAAACAATCAACAGAAAAAAACCGAAAACCTGATTTTCCTCATATGCTTATTTGCCCCATTAACATGAGAAATTGATTAAAATTGGGTGTCGGTAGTGGGCAGGGATAACAGACTTTGTTACTAACTGGAAAAAGTCAAAAAGTTGACCACCATGCTTTTGTTTATCATCTCTGCTAAGTCAGAGAGCTGTTTCATTTTGCTTTGTTAAACTGGTGCCAGACTATAAAGGAGTTTGTAGCATTTTAAGTGATAGAAACCCCACCTCAAATAAAAAGTGATTTCTTTGTATCTTTTAAAAATCCAAGGGTAGATTTTGTTTTGGGAGAGGTTGAATACAGTTGAAGATTAAGTAGTGTCATCAGGTGGCTGTTTCCTGAGTTCACAATATGGCTAGCAGCAGCTCCCTGGCCTGCATCCTGCTGAATTCCCACACAGTGAAAAGGTAGGGTCTATGTCCCAGCAATCTCTGTGAAGGCCTTAGGACTCTAAATGGATCACACCCATTTAGAAGCAAACATGTTGGCTGGAGAAATGCTTTGATTGAAGTAGTTTAGTTCCACATCACATATTCCATATCTGAGCTATTCGGGCATCAATCTAGAGTGGGGGAGAAGATGAACCCCAAAGGGAAATCAGAGTGCAATCACCAAGAGGAGGTTCAGTGGACCCATCTAGAGTAAAATACACAGGGGAAGAGGCCCTATGAATTTAACCTTGACATGTTTATTAATGTTAAAGCTAGGTAGCTGTAATGAACTGAATGCATGTGCCCAATCCCCACCAATTCAGATGTTGATGCCCTCATCTCCAATGTGATGGTACTTGGAGGTGGGGCTTTGGAGAAGTGATTAGGTCATGAGAGCCCTCATGAATTAGATTAATGCCCTTGAGAGAAGAGCCTTGAGAGAGGGGAGCTCTCCCTGCCAAACAAGGACACAGCAAGCAGCTGCTGTTTGCACACCAGGAAGAGGGCCCTCACTAGAATCAAATCATCCAGCACCTTGATCTTGGATTTCCCAACCTCCAGAGCTGTGAAAAGTAAGTTTGTGTTGGTTAAGCCACTTGTCTATATTATTTTGTTATGGCAACCCAAGCCAATTAAAACAGCCAAATCTCACTTTTTGAAAAAGTAAAGATTTAATGAGGTAGAAGTGTCCCCCATCCCCATATTTCCACCACATTTTCGAGTTTCCTGTGGTTATCTGGATGGCAATGTTTGCTGAGATGAGCTGTCCTGGGATGTGAAACGCACCGGGGGTAACAGATAATGATCGCTGCCACTGCAGGGAGACCATCTTGCACTAGAGGAGCTGCATCTTTTTAATCCACTCTTTCTATTACCGGTTTAAATAATGTTTCTGACAAGATTCTGTGTGTGGTTTTTTGTTTGTTTGTTTGTTTTGTTTTTCATCAGTAAACAGGTATTGGGCATTATTTGTAGGGCTGTTAACACATTACATGAAAAAAAACGAGCTATTTAAAAGCCAAGAGAAATACTTCCAGAAAAATTTAGGTCTAAAATAAAGTTTTAGGAACTTCCAAATGAAAAGTCTGCAATACAAACTAAAGTCTCTTCCAAATTGGCCTTTGTTGTAGCCCTGGACACATTATTCCCTTTTTACTTCTAATCTGGAGCATGGATAATATTTTTCATGTTCAACTTAAGTTGTTTAGTTAATGGTCTAAGAATAATTTTGGGGAGCTTTCATCAGCATGGGTGTTAGTACCCCATTCCTCTGAATGAATGTAATTTGCCTATTGTGTTCTTGCTGTATAAACTGATCCCTGGGATTAATCATCTTCTTTTTACCAGCTAGAAATTGTAGATGTTTAATGGATAGAACTATGTCAATCAATTTAATGAGTCTCATTTAAAACATACTGATCATTATAATATTGAAGTATTATCAACATTCATCCTTATTCCTACTTTCTAAGTTTTCCAAGTTTGTCCTTCCTGCCTGCCTGAGGAGAATAAAGTAGCTGAAGCTTTTTTCAAGTTCTGGGAATTCAAGTGCACCTACTGGGTGATCTGCAGAAAAATTCTAAACTATCTTTGCATTGTTTACTACAGTACACCTTAAGCAAATCACATAGTTTCCATTTCTGTGATGGAATATTCTGTCATCTCAGTAGGAAGTGTGCCATGGAGGATACACACTGGTTAAGTTGGCCCAGGGGAATCTCAGGCAGCTTTGCAGCTGGATAGGAAGGTGGGATGTGGACAGGGTTGCAGCACCTGTCACAGTGTAGAGAACCACAGGAGAGTCAGCTCACCTGACAACACAGGCAGCGTCCCTGTGCCCCCCCAGAAGATAAGCACAGGACAAAGGGACAGCCTTCCTAGATAAGGAGAGCCATCCAGTCACCAAACACATTATACAGGTGATTAAGTGAATTAAAACCTGAGTCATTATTAATGATTTTTGTTTCTGCTTTGTTTTCAGTTGTTTGAATTTATGAACTTCTTGGCTGAGAATGTCATCTTCTGCTACATGGGTCTGGCATTGTTCACATTCCAGAATCATATCTTTAATGCCCTTTTTATACTTGGAACCTTTGTATCCTTTGAAATACAGAATAGGGGCTGACGAAAGAGAACAAACTACTTACTTTTACCGATTATTCTGTTAAATTATTAAAGTAATTTCCTCAGGCTTACTATAGGGCTCAAATTTAAGGTATATATGTAATTTCTAGTTAAATGCTTATGGTTAAACATAAGAACTTTGGGAAATACTGGGAGGGGGGAACTAAAGGAGAGTGACTTTTTTGAATATTCAAAATATGTTTAAAATTATGAATCATTTAAATTAAAATTTCAAACCATTCTTTACAGAGAAATATATTTAACCTGAATTAGTATGATCAGAAGATTATTAAGCGTTAGAAATATTTTCATTACAGAATGGTAAAATCTTTTTAGTAAGGACTTTGAAATAGGATATGCAAAGTAAAGAGCAAATGAAATTAGCATGATGGATATGTTTCAATATCTTAATAATTGGGCACATGTAAGGTTATTTTATTAAGAAAACCTTTCCTATAAACAAAATAATAGAAAAAAATCTAAACCTCACTTTTAATGCAGAGGACTTTTGTAGTGCTAGGCCTGGTGTGTAGGCACTCCCAATGGGAATGGGTATCTGAACAAAAGGATACTGAGGCACTGGGATGTCCCCAAGGACAGTCAGTGGCTGTCATCATTCTTTCCACTGGGAAAATGGACATAACCCCTCAGATTCCAGGAGATGATCTTACAGCCAGGAGAGTCGACTCCTTTTTCAAAGCCCTGTTCTAACCAAGCACCTGCCTCCTGTTCTCTCTTCACAGAGCACTCAGCTCAACCCTCAGATTTCATCCAAAACCTGGTCTTAGAAGGAAGCTCCTCTTCCCAACAACTCCATCTCATTTGAGGGTAAACTAGACTAGGTAGACTATCAGGGAAGTGGTCCAAGATGACAAAGGGGAGAAATGACTACCACCAATATTTTCATAGATTTTAATGTGTACAGTTTGGATTTAGTAAAATGCTTCTTAAAGCATTAGTTGTATCATATGTTTATATAGGCAATTTCTCTCAAAATTAAATCCACTAAAAGAAAAAAAAAGAGTGAAGCTTGCTAGATACAGAGCCTATAATTGATGAACAGTGAGATGGTAATCAGGAGCCAAAGCACATGTATCCTTTCTGAAGCACTGCTCAGGAAGCATGCCACAACCCTGCACACTTGCTGCCTTACTTTTCAGCAGAATTGAACATAAAGTCAGTCTCCAGCAACAATAAATATGATGAGAAAATTTACAGAGATTGAAATTGGGTTGGCTATTGTAAATCAAATGTATTCAAATATAAATATATATTATTTCTAAAAAGGAATTGGCATTGAAAGATGAATTTTGGAAGGAAGTTGGACATACATGTGTTGACATATTTATCTCTGTTTTCTGGGTCATAGTATAGAGAAACTGAAGGAAATGATATTTAAAGCTCAAGGACTAGTGCCCTTACTAAGTAATGCTTTCCTCAATGTTTCCCAGCTAGCAATTCTTGTTGCCAGAGCCTGCAACATATATCCCCTCTCCTTCCTCCTGAATCTGGGCCGGAAGCAGAAGGTCCCCTGGAACTTCCAGCATATGATGATGTTTTCAGGTATGTGAACTACATGCGGCGTCAGCGCTACTGTTCTCTCCCATGTCACTATGTGGAAAACCACAGGGACAGGTAGTGACATTCTGGGGAAGCATAACTCTGACTTACCCCAGCATACCCAGCATCATGCTGACACTCCATAAATTATGAGCAACAGTGGGGTTTTTCTTTCCAGAAAACAAATGAAATTAAAGGAAATCTTGTTGGAATGGCCTCAGTGTACATACAGCATCTGCCAGAAACTGGCCTAGAATAGGTATTTTCATATTGGGGAATTGTCATGATCATTTCAGAAATTGCATACTTGAAGGTAAGTATTCTGTAAATTATACCATCCTTGTCCAATGTTAAATCTCCTTCTCCTTAGAATCCCTGTTCCTTCCTTATGCTGAGCTCCAGGAACGTCTCATGGTTAATACAAAAGCAAATCATATCTAAGTTATTAGTTGAGAAAAACCATGCCCCTTTATTAGTTGAAAAAACAAGTACTAATTGGCACCAAGTGCCAAGAGCAATTCCAGGGACTGTATGTGAGTCTGTCAAGATCTGTGCTCTCAAGAAGCTTATGTGCTACTTGCTTAAACCAAACCTGGAGGCTCCCTTTTCCAAAAGAAAATAGACCAAATGAATTTGATGACCCTGAACTACTCTGGCGATTGTGGTTTCTTTCTGTTCAATCAGTTTTCCTACCATTAGTCTTTCCTGTTTGGAGACCTTTCCCTTTACATGCTTTCTAGGTGTGTATACACTTACATTTCACTCACGGTTTATTGGATGATATAAGAGAGTAAAACAGTGACAACAAAACACTTCTTCAGAATAGACCAAACAAAACAATTTCCAGGTATACAGGAAGATATGGAAAATATTTCAGAAGCTATCATTTATTGAATATCTACTATTCGCTACTCACTATAGATCAATCCTACGAGGTAGATATTAACTTTATTTTCTTCAAAGTAGAAGCTGAAATTCAGGACCTCAAAGACCTTAAGTAACTGGGCCAAGGACAAAAGCATTCTTGAGCTCAAGTCTATGAGACTCCACTTTAAACCCACCATAGTGTTCCAAAATCTACATTTTTAAATGTACTAGAAATAAAGGACTTGTTTCACCTTCAGTTTCATTCTATCCTGTTCTGCACAGTAAAGGGTGGCAACTCCCAGGCTGAGAAGGAGTTGTTTAATTAAGGGCAGGCAAATGGAGGTTCGGAGTTTAAAACCTCCCTCTGCAGGCCTCTGACAGAGCTTTCTGCATCCCCAGATATGTGAGAGTGGAGAGAGAGTCACAAAGAGGGTGAGCTGGACTGACAGGCCACCTTTGAGTTAGAACAATAAGAAACTGGTCATGAGTTGACATTTTAAGGGAAAGCAAAAGGCAAATTTGGTCACTTGTGCATAAGTGATGGGCTTCATTTTTGCAAAGTATTTCTAGGAGTAGGAAAGCACTCTCTCTTCTTTCCCATCATAACATCAGTAGATGTACTCTGGAGAACACTGGTTTGTTTTTAAAACTTGGATATTACATTTAAACAATGCTTTATTTTACAAATGCTTTGAAGAAGGTGTAGGGTTTTAGATAGCTATATTGGCATATGAAGTATCTACCCAAATGGCCACCTGGCTTGATGGTTTCTCCAGGGTTTGGCAACTACATTTGCTGAGCTATAAAACTCGAGCTGCACTAAAACTGAGGGCCAAGAATATGGTGTGCAGGACTGGGAGAATGAAGAAGCCCGAATTTGGTGGTATCTTTATGATATTCTAAAGTAGAAAGTCAGCAAACTATGGCCTTTGAACCATATCTAGCCCATGCCAATTTTGTAAGTAAAGCTGGAACACAGCTAGATCCTTTAAAAGAAAACAAAAACATATTGTCTATGACTGCTTTTGCACTACAAGGTCAGTGTTGAGCTATTGCAACAGAAACCATATGGTCCACAAAACCTAAAATGTTTACTATCTAGCCCTGTTCTAAAGCATCTTCACCCTCTAATGGGGTAGTCATTGTTGGTTTAATTCAGGGAATGCCAATCAGCTACTTCTGTCTTTAAAAATACCATAATACAAATATTTCAAGACATCTACATACATATAACTATAATGCCCAGAGAAAGACACCCGTTGTCTTCCTCATTGACTATCCATGTCATCTGCGGATCATCCAGTCACTTACTGTTAGCAGTTTAGCAGTTTAACCTCAAGGGTCAGTGTCATCATGGGCCAAAATGAGCTTCTATTTACAAATTTGACTGCATTTTTTGTTTTGAACACTTTTCACACTGAAATGAATCTGAACAACAAAGAGATTGGGTTACTTCATATTGTTATTACATGTTCATATTGATATTCCCTCATATGTTGAAAAGCACACTAAAATTTGTCTTTTTAGCTTTAAAATGAAAAGATTGCAATGTTATTTGGAATCATAGATGCTCAGCTTGAAACTCACTCTAGACTTTTCTAAGACCTCTCCTGAACAATGTTTTGAGACCCATAGGCAGGACAAAGTAGGCTAGGCATATTGGTCTCTTTCCCAGAAAGAGAGAGAGGAGATTGGGCATCTTGCTGACAATCTCAAGACAAACTAGAGATGAAATTGAGACTTACACTCAAGCTTCTTCATTTTGAACTAGAAGGAGGCACAGAAGCACCTGGGCAGGTTGAAGGAGCCTGGCATATTTCAGAGAATATGCCCCTCTGATGTGTCCATTTCTGCGGCACTTTGAAAAGATACTGAAACCCTGATGTATCCTATCATATAAACTAGGAAGAGTTTTAGCAAGGACAGTGTGACCACAGTGCACAAATGTAGTATAAAATCTTATCCATGAGTTCACACAGCACCAGGTCACCAGGCTTTGCTCCTAAATTTGTTTGTTGCCTATTTGGTTCTCCCCAGAATATGTTGGCATTCAAATAGATGCCAGCAGCAACAGATTAAGAGAAAGGCATGGAAGAAAAACTGTAAATTAAGAAAAGTTTTCTCTTTCTTTCTTATTTTTTATTGTTGACACGATTACATATGCCCCCCCATTTCTCCTCTTTGCCCCCCTCCACCCAGCAAGAAAAGTTTTCCATTAGCATTTAAATTTCCTTTCAATGGTGAAAGATTGCCATTATTACCCAAGTTTGGGGACATCAGTGTTCTACAGAAGGATAGCTTCAGAACCACCATCAGTGTATAGGAGACTATCTTTCTCAGTGTGTTTCTGGTGAGCCATCAGGCAATGATCACAGTCATCTTGAGACTTTGACTCATAAGTGGCTTTCCCCAGCTCATGCATCAATTCAACAGGAAGAAAACATGCATGGAATTCGTGAAGGTGAAGAGCCAGTATCACTGCTGCTGCAGTGCCTGGGAACAGGACTCCATGTCTGTGACTTCCCAAGCTAATGGAAGTCCATTAGGCCATCAGGACTGTGTCACAGCAATCACCAGCCACCAGTAAAAGGACACTTCCATGTGCTCTCTTAATCCTTGATGCCCAAAAGTGTGGTCCTCAGAACAGCAGCTTTGCCATTATGTGGGAGCTCCTACTTGTGCATGTAAGCATGTGAGAAGGACATCCCAGAATATAATGGCAGTTCTTAATCTCTGTTCTGAGCTGTCTCTTCACCTTATTCCTCCCACCTCTTTCTGTTTTCCTTAGACACTCCTGGATTCCAATCTTGCTTCTTACTCTTTCGTTTGCCATACGATCAGCACAGAACTATTTAGCCAATCACTGCATTTCTTCCCGTTCCTTGAGCATGCTGAGTTCTTACACTATTCGCCCAGATTCTCCTGCTGCCCAGAATCCTTTCCATACCTCCTGTCTTCACTTTTTTAATCTTTAGATTTGGCTTAGACATCACTCCCTGTAGGAAGCCTTGGTAAGTCTTCAAGTGTGGGTGTGTCCCACTCATCTGTTTTTATAGGCCCATTGTTTCTCCTCTCCTAGGACCCATCACATTCCACTGTGATTTTTGGTTTACCTGCCCGTGTGCCCCTTTAGACTGGGAGCTTCATGAGGCCGGTGCTTATTTGTTTGGTTCCCTCTTTACCTCAGCACCCAGCACACTATAATTAAAAAAAAAACACAAAAGGTTTTATTTGTTGATCTCTGTCTTAAAATTATTGTCACTTAGCTCTCACCTGTGGAACCAGGCAAGCCTGGTCTGAGAGTTTCCAATTCTGGAACTGAAGCTTGCTGGACTGACGGAACAGGACTAGCCTTCCACAAATAACTGGTGGACAAATAGGCAAATGAGTGAACAAACTACAACATTGTCTATCCGACTAAAATTACACATTTCATAAAATGCTGCTTAAGCAACAATAATTTTAAGAACTGAGATCAACAAATAAAACCTTGTTTTTTAAATGGAAGAAAATGTTTTTCCTATACTCACTTCCCTGAGTGCTGACAATAGTAAACATTGTTAACACTTCCTCAAACATTGCATTAGGATCTGAGGATACTTTTTAAAGCTTTGCTTGCTTTGTATTGCAGGGATGTGTTTGTTTTCCAGTTAAGAACCTGAGGTCTCATTTAAAACTCAGGAACTTTAACAGTAGGTGATTTGAATCAAGAATCAGACTAAATCTAACTTCAAATTAGGAAAAAGATTTTCTTTAATGTACATACAAGAGTTATCTGAGATTCTGAGCCATCAAGCAACAGGACTTTTTCTTTACTCTCCTCTTCCCTTGTTCCATACTTCCAGAGAGAGACAGCCTGGAAGACACCAATATTTCTGTCAGCATTCCTTGCCAGGCCTGCCTCTGCAGACACTCACCCAGAGTCCAGTGACTGTCATTTCTTCTGTGCTATGTAAACTTACTGTCACAGGAGTACATGCTCTCAGGCCAGGGCGGATGTTAACATGGGGGTGGAAAAATGCCTCTCCTCCAGAGGCTGCTTCAGATATCACCAGGCTCCTTCCGTTTTGTAGCATTATCATTCCCTAAGCCAAGGGTCCTAAAGTGGTCCCTGAACTAGGAGTGTCACCAGCGAT